TGTGTGTGTGTGTGTGTGTGTGTGTGTGTGTGTGTGTGTGTGTGTGTATGCCCCCAGGAGCTGTCTTCTAGTCTGTGCAGCTGAGTAGCTTCTGTTAAATGATTACATCTAAATGCTAAGGGCTGACAAGAAGAAAGTCCTTTCCAGTTCTGCCCAGAGAAAAAGAGAACACCAGACTGTAAGATTTTCTTAGACTTTTTGCAGTGGGTGAAGTATAGGGATAAAGCAGCAGCATTTGGTACAGAAGGATCCCACACAGCTGAGATTATGGTGAGAGCTACTGGAGAGGTTTCCGAGGTAGGGTCTTGCTGCGCGGAGCTGAAGCTGTGAGCTGAACTAGGAAGGAATAGTATCGACATTCAAAGACCAAGGGTTCTAGCAGCACTTCACTTGGAGGCCCCTGGAAGGACTGAAGTAGCCATCATGACCTCAAGTCAATCAGGATCAAGTGCTGCTCTAATCTCAGCTCTCAACATGTCTGGAACCATACTGCCCTGAGGCTCACGCTTATAACTGCTGTGGGAGGAAATAGAAAGGATGGTGTTCTTATGGCTGGAATCAGAGTGGAGCTGCAATCTATAACTCAGCAGAATGGGGAATTGGAATTCCATAAAACTGGCAGTCTGTGCAGGTCAGGGGCTGTGGGCTGAAGAGGTTTAGGACAAGTTTTCAGAACTTTATTCATCTTCTTTTAATCAATCATCGAATCCACTTGGATTCCACTATGAGACATATTTCTTTTTAAATTACATGCTACAATATAAACACACATAAATGTTCGTGGGCACTGTGGCATGGTTTGGTAGTACATTGTAAAAAATCTCAGGGCTGATGGGATTGGCTAAGCATGTAAGAGCACCAAACCAAATGACCTGAGCTTGAGCTCCAGAGCCCATGACAAAGAGCAAACTGACTCCTGAAAAGCTGTTCTCTGACCCCCACATGCACTCTGAGGCACACATGGCCACACACACATCATACACACAGTAAAACAAATTCTACACACTACTCAAAGCACAGCGGATGCTTCACAAAACCACTGTGTTCAGGGTGTGTGCTAAGGATAGCACATATGTATGTGTACAAGAGCTGTTTATATTAGAGAAGGGTATATGGAAATGATGCATGGGTCCAGGTAGAATTCATGTTAGGAGTGCCTGAGGGACACGTGTTTATATGTCATATGTCATACTAGGGATATATGTGTTTATATGAATGCTAGGAATGTATGAATGTGGACTGGAGGACTGTGTGGGTATAGGGCACTAAACTCTGACTTTAGCTCAGAAGGTCACATCGTAGGCCAGAATGCACTGTGCTTCTCTGGGTACTGTTAAGTACCACTGCTGACTCCTGGCTAGAAAGCTTTTTCTTTGGGATCTTGCATGTGAGTCAGGAGTAAGGTATCTCTTATCTTAAACTTACACCTTCTGAACCCTTAATTTCTAGTCTGGATCCAAGAAGAGGAACCAGAACCCTTCCTCAAATTATACTGTATATGAAGAGGTAAGATTCTGGAACTCTCCTTCACAGTGGGTTTAGTCTCTGTGGACTCCTAAGATCCGGTCTAGAGGATATACCTACAACAAGGTCATCCATACAGCTTCAGAGCTGCTGGGGTTTTAGGGATCCTGCCCAAAGACACTGATGTCCCAGAAGACTGAATGTCTAACTCAAAGTCATACCATGTGTTCGAGCCGGTGAGGTCTGGGTTCTGAACTAGGGTTTCCCCAAGCTCGTTCCAGGGCTATGTGTAAATGTTAAAGGAACATACAGAGGAAAATCAGAGAGGGGGAAATAAATGACTCTAAATCACTTCCTAAAATCAGGAAGTTGTTGGGAATCATTTCAGAACGTGGGTGATCTCAGACTTCTGCGGAGGACATCATTCAAAAGTGACACCGAATCTTGTAGTTAACTGGTGCCCGTTAGCTCTACATGGAAGGAAGAAAGAGGGATTTAACATTTATTAGGATTTTTCCAAAGGTGTAAGGCGAATTTTCATGCCTGGGCATAAATTGCCTCGTTTCATGCTCACAGAATGCTATAAGGTAGGTATAATCTAACCACGTCCTTCATTTGTTCTTTTCAGTGTGAGGTATAGAACCCAGGGTCTTCAGTGCGCTTCACAAGTATTCTACCACTGAGTTATGGCCCCAACCCTATGCTTGCAGTTTTACATCCAGAGAAATTAAGGCACAAAGAGTACCCTAAGTATTAGCCTCACACTATAATCAAAACACCCAAGGCCTAGTATAAATGTTGTCTTCAGTCACAAGGGAGAGGCTGTGTGGTTGCCTGTAGGGATTCTTAGCTTTACAGTGGTAGCCCAACCTTGACCCTGACTTGACAGTCCAGAGTTGTAAAGGAGACTGTACGGCCAAGGCAAGATGGGAGCCACGGAGAAGCACAGAGTAGTTAAAAACAGCACCAGAATTGAACAGAAGAATGGATTCAGGTCCCACCTTCACTTCATACTAATTACCAGCCACTTTGATATTTTTTTTATTAGTCTGTAATATGGGGATAGTGGACCACACCCTACAAGATTGTTTTAAGAACAGTCCAGAGTGAAGGTTTGACGTCTCTCCCTTTTCACTGCAGGTTGGAAAGCAAAGCCTCAAAGCCCACAACCCCACCAGACTGAGCCGCAGAGAACTAGAGAACTTTGATGTTTATTTCTAGGTGTTGGAAGTGTTTTCATCCTGTGTTACGCATCAGCATTGACTTTGGAAGGGAACACAGCATGTGATGATGATTCTGTATGAGTCTATGGAACAGCTTCTAGGCTAAGAGGATGTAGAAGTTTATTCACGGTTTATATTTTATATTATATTTTATGTTTCATTTTAGACAAGTTCTGGCATAGTCCAGCATGACCTGAATTTGCTAAGTAGCCTTAAACTTTTGATCCTCCTGTCTATACTTCCCAAGTGTTTTAAATAACAGGCATGTACCACCATGCATGGCTTAAAGACAATGTTTAACAGCCTCTGTAAGATCAAGAGTGTTAAGCAAAACTCCCAAACTTACAGGCCATAGGGTAGAGAGGTTGTCTTGGCCACATTCTGAGACACTGTAATCTACACAGCACTGTATAAGTGTGGGATAGCGGGAAATTCCCTTCTTGTGGTTCTCTAAGATGTTACATCCCAACATGGGATGTCTGCATTCTAGGTAGGCCCTTCCCTTCCCCACCTTCCAAAGCAAGAACAACAAGAGATGACTGTGGCTCAGAGAGAAAGGAGCTATGGTTCCTCCTTGAGGCTGTGCTCTCTGGCTGTGAGCTAGCTGTCAGTTCTCCCACAGAGGCTAGAGTCCTGGCTTCTCTCAAATTCGGGGAATCTCTTTGCTTCTGGCCAGTTGTTCACAAGGGATAGTGGGAAGAAAGTGAGAGTACATGGTGCAATTTGAGCGGGTCTCTGTACGAAAGAATCATCCAGAGTGTGTGCCGTCCTGATAATCAGTGGTTAAGATCAGTGCGGCCTACAGTGTGATGGTTGGCTTACAAAGTCCTAGCACTAGAAATCTGTTTTGTCACTGTCTTCTTTGTCTTAATCTTCTTCAGTACGATTTTCCACTGTGTAGCTCAGAATGGCCTGGAACTCACTGTGCAGACCAGAATGGCCTCAAGCTTACAGAGAGCCACCTGCTTGTGTCACTGTCAATACCGTGGGCCACCACACCCAGCCTGTTTTGCCTTCTTTGCAGAAGTCTCTCAAGAACCATAGGTAGCCAAGTTCAGAGTCCCGTGAAGTGCTCCCCACGATATGCCCTGAAGGGAAGGCTCAAATAGTTGATTGCTGTAGATGAGGCAGTTGGGGACCACATACCATGCTGTCTCTCTTCTGGCTAGCTCCTTCAGCAGTGCAGGAAGAGCAGGCCCAACTCTGGATGAGCTGAGAAGAGCAACGAGTATGAACTGAGAGAGCACTTACTCCAACACCCTGGCAGGTGGCACTGCTCAGAGTCTACAGCTTTTGTTTTGTTTTGTTTTGATTTGAGGCAGGGCCCCACTATACAGCCCTGGCTGTCCTGGACCTCACTGTGTGAACCATGCCGGCCTTAAACTCACAGAGATCCTCCCTCCTCTGCTGGACTCAAAGGCACACGCCACTCATCATGGGAATTTGACATGAAAATGTGCTCTCACACAGAGGCAGTGTTAATCCTTTGCCTGAATTAAAGCGGTGAACTTCTTTATGCTCATTGTGTGGGTCATTGATTACTGTTTGTTAGCACGTCTGTTTAAACGCTGCTGGAGGTGGGGCTGACTCTCTGGCTTGCGGTCAGTCTTGTTCACACAGAAATAGTAGAGAGCTAGAATTCCTGCCCTAGTTAGCCTCCTGCAGGACAGCCAAGGTGTGGCTTGTCTGTGTTTCACTTGATCCCTCATCCCTGTACACACCTAGCAGGCTGGCTTCCCTCTAGGTAGAAACACGGAGTATATCTAAAAGCAAGTGCCAAGAAAGGAATATAGTCGAAGAATCTGTAGTCTTGAGGCAGATATTGGGAGGTGAGTCAAGGAGTTTGGTAAGCAGAGACAATAAGAAATGATGGAGAATCTGGGTAGTGGTGACATACATCTTTAATTCCTGCATGTAGGAGGCAGAGGCATGTGAATCTCTATGAGTTCAAGACCAGCCTGGTCTACAGAATGAATTCCAGGACAACCAAGGCCAGACAGAGAAACCCCAGCTCAAAAAACAAAATGGAAAAAAGAAATGATGATGGGAAAGGGTAGTGAGATGGCTCAGTGGTTAAGAGCACTTGCTACTGTTCCAGAAGACACAGGTTCAGTTCTCAGCACTCATATCAGACGGCTCACAACAGCCTGGAGTAATTCCTGCTCCAGGAGATCCAACCCTCTCTTTGTATGAATCCAATGCTCTCCACAGGTGGTATACATGCATGCAGGCAAAATGAACATACACATAGAATAAGATTAAAAAAAAGATGGAGTAAGAACATTCCAGATGATCACCAAAGGTACGACCATTGATTTATTTTTCAATATAATGATAATGACAACAACAGCAACAACAATTATTATTATTAGGGAATTCATGCATGCATGTGGAGGTTATAGGACAACTTTGCAGAGCTGGTTCTCTCTTTTGGCCTTTCCATAGGTTCTGGGGATTAAACTCAGGTCTACAGGGTGGGCAGTGAGGACTTTCACCCACTGCCATCTTGATTTCTTCTGGTCTTTGAAGTACCATGGGCTGTGTAGCTCTTGAGAGAAGGAACTCTAAGGCCTCAGCTTTTTGGAAGGTTGTGTCGCAGAGTGTGCTGTGCACATCACCACCACGTTGTGTGTCAGATTGTTGAGCTCTTGGAGTAATGCCTCACAAAGACAATGACCCACCCAACTAAGCAATGAACAGTCAGTAATTAAGATCTTGAGTATGAAGCAGAATCTGAATGCTGAGGAGCACCCCCGCGTACCTGTCACACGGCACAGCCACATGGATTTCAAGGCCACATGTAGGTGAGCAGGTACACAGCACTGAAGGACAGAGGGCTGCAAGACGCACTGTGTATGCCACAGTATCGTCAATGTAACTCACACACGCCTCATCCAGATAGGGGTCAGGTTGCAGCCAAAACTTGAGGAGAGGAAAGCTGCTCTGTCTGTTCTTTATCCTGTCAGATAATAGGGAGGGAGGTCTCTTGGGTGACAGAGGCATTTTAAGCTTTTCTTTGTGTGTGTGTGGGCAAGACAGAGTCACAGTTGAATATCACAAGCTGTGACTCTTCTGCCTCAGTTCCCTTTGTAGAGATAACAAGCATGTGACACTAGGCCTGGCTTAAACATTTTAAAGAACTATCAAGATAGGTGTTGAGGAGATGGCTTAGCTGGTGAAATGCCTACCACACAAGCCTGAAGACCTGAGTTTGGATACTCACCACCCCGCTGAAAAAGCTGTGTGTGTCAGTAAACATATATGATCTCTCTGCTGGACAGGGGATATGGAAGATGAAAAGTGGGAGATGGAAAGGCCAAGACAGATGCATCCTTGAATCTCATTGGCCATCCAGTCTAGTACAGTTTGTGAGCCTCTGCAGGTGCCCCCAAATACCCCAACAAAACACACACATATGCATAATTTAAAATGAAATAGAGATTTTAAAAAGTTATCAAAACACTAATTCATCTGTTTTTAAAAATCAAGCAATACAAAAAGTTATTCAATAAGTCTCCTCAAACTAAGATTCTCGGTCCCTCCTCTGGAAGAAGCCACTGATTTGTTTCCATTTAGGCTCTGCATGCCTACACAAGCACATAGGCTTACAGTTTTCTAATCGGTCTGGCGGCATACAATCTATACAATCTATACAATCCATACAATCTATACAATCTATACTCTGGACTTTGTTCTTCACACTCAACAATGTATTCCATATAGCATATTGGCTTTGTTTGTTTGTTTCGAGTTTTCCACTGCTTGGGGATGCTACCACACATTTAACCAGGATCTCACTAGATGCCCATTTAGGTTATTTCACACTTTCTATTTTAAATAGTACTAGAGTGAACATCATTTCACACGGACCTGTGTGCCCATGTGTGAAAATAGCTGTTGGGTTCATTTTTTTTTGGGGGGGGGGCTGTTTAGAAGATGGTGTGAAGGCTGGTCAGTCATAGTCTCCTTCAACATCATTGACCAGAAGAGAGCCTATGCAAGTAGTCTTTTGGGGATGCCCTGTTCTGAAATGTTCTGTATATAACACTATCATAATTGTGTATCTGATTGCTGAGCCTTTGCCATGACGCTATACAAAGACAATGATACCTGCAATGAGCCAACAAACTGGCTGTCACAGTCAGCGTTCTAGTCCTGCGACGAGACCCTGTGACCACAGCAACCCTAAGACGAGAGAGCATTTAACTGAGGCTTGCTTGTAGTATCAGAGGTTTAGTCCATTTTCATCGTGATGGGCAGCATGGTGGCACACTGGCGGACATGGTGGCGAACAAGTAGCTGAGAGCTCTACATCTTGACCAACAGTCAGCAGGAAGAGAGCCACTCATTGGTGCTTTTGAACTCTTAACGCCAGTGACACACTTTCTCCAAAAAGGACACGCCTTCTAATCCTTCTCAAGTAGTACTACTCTCTGATAACTAAACATTTAGAGATATGAACATATGGGGGGGACATTCTTATTCAAACCACCACCATATTCCACTCCCTGAGCCCCATTGGCTTATAGTCATATTCTAATGCAAAATGCATTTAGTACAACTTTAAAAGTTCCTGTAGTCTGACACAGTTTCAACACTGTTTTAAAGTTCAAAGTCTCTTCTGAGACTCATGGTAATCTCTTAACTGTGATCCCCATAAAATCAAAATCAGAAAGCAGATTGTATATTCTGACACACAATGGCACATAATAAACATTACTGCTCCAGAAAGGGAGAAAGGGTGCCTAGTGAGCTAATACTGGAGCAGAGCAAGGATGAAAACTAGGAGGACAGACTCTGAATTCTGAATCTGTAGGCTTAGATTTTTTCAAGCACCTACTTTATTTAAGGTTCTTAAATGCTTCTGCCCTCCTTCCAACACCCTCCCACCCCCAACCCTAGGTAGGAGATTGGTAGGGAAAGGGCTGAAGACCTCTTTTTGCTACTTCCTGCAGATTAGGGTCATTGGGTTCTTTGGGGACATACCAATCTCAGTCAATCTCAGCAGCCAAACAGCAAAGCAGCAAACCACAGCAGCAGCAACCAAAACAGCAACCAACAGCAACAGAGGTGATGCCACTCAGCAAAAGTGGCCGGACTCTCTCCAAATGGCATGAGGCTGCTGAAGCTGTAGCATGAAAAGTTCTCTGGAGAGTTTCTGTTTTGTTTTTGTTTTTTGTTTGTTTGTTTGTTTTTTTCTTTTTTCTTTTTTTTGGTGGCTCACTTTCCTGTTCCATGGGAAGGTGTCCAGCCTTCTAGTACTCAGATAGCAGGGTGTCCAGGAAACCCACAGTTATGAGGCCGTGAGTCTGAGTCACATTCTATGAGGACTGGGAAGGTATCCCAGCTCTGAGGTGGGACAGAGTCCCAAGGGTATCCTGAGGCACAGAAACCCAGGAACTTCACAGCTCTGAGAGGAGGCCTCCTCAACAGAGATGTTGCTGCTCCCGAGGGAGCTTGGCCCAACTCTGAGGAGCTGAGGAGCCTAGGAGCCTGGGCCCCACATCTTCATTTCTTTCTTCTCTTCTTCCTCTTCCTCTAATCAGTGAGTCAGGGCAGGAAGTAAATCTCTTAAGAGAGATTTATTGAAGGGACAAATTCAGGAGAGGAGGGAGGAATCCAGAAGTGGCTGCCTCTGCTCTTGGGGGAAGGCAGCAGGGAACGGGGGGGGGGGGGGAAAAACAGATTACATAGGAATTCTCAGGGGGCAGAGCTTTCTGGGGGCAGGGATTTCCAGAGTACTGATTGGTGAGCTTTCTAATAGTGAGCTGCAGGAAGTTCAGAGATTGGTCAGTTTTCCTGCTCAGGGAGTGGTGATTTTTTTTTTTTTTTTTTTTTTTTTTTTTGTGTTTTTTTTTTTTTAATTTGTTTTGTCTGGGATGAGTCCTACTGAGGGGCTGGAGATGACAGTTACAGAGGTCAGGGATGGGAGGGGGAGAGACACTGGGCTGCTGGGCCTTCCTTAGGCAGAGGTCTGGCCACTGTCGTTCTTTGAGGGGTTATAAAGTATACAAAGTATGCAAAATGTACAAGGAGTTCACTGTGAAGGCAGTAGACCGAGGCAGGAAAGGTTGTCCTTATGGACAGCTCCCTGCGGAGGCAGTAGTCATTCAGAGGCAGAAAAGGTGTCTGGTTCCCCTCTCCACAGGGTTTTAGATCAGAGGAGGAATCGTAATGGATGAATAGAGACAAATAAAGCAAGGATGTTCAGAGCCTGTAGGCTCCAAGGAGCCTGGGCCTGACCTATAAATGGGCTAATGAGGTAATGGGGACTAGAAGAAAAGGAAGAGATGAAATTCAGGCGAGTCTGAGCTACTGCAAGAAATTCTGATGTGCTCTTTCTGCAGAAACAGTAGGATTTACGAGCTCTGTTTTTCTCCAAATTCTCACCGCAGGAGAAATAGCTGCTTTTCACTTCAGGTGAAATTTTCATAGGTAGAGATTCCAGGATCCTCAGCATCTTCCTGTGCTGTTTGCACCATCTAAATGAGTCAAAAAGAACATGAGAGAATGAGAAGTTACCAAAGCCTCAGAGAGTCCAACTCTCCTCAGTTTCTGCTGGTAAGAGCACAAGGCCAGGGCAAGTCATCTTATAATTTATGGGAAGTCTCCTAGCACTTAGGGCCATTGGCTGGACTCCTCACAGGGGAGAACTAGAGAGATAACAGCAAATCTAGAAGTTTAAAAATGACAATAAAGCACCTTGCATTTCAGGAGCTACTACTGAGTGGTTCCAGTTTCTGCCCTTTACTGGAGGCAAAAAGGCAAACATGTATGTAACAATTGAGATGGAAGAGGTTGGGTCCCAATTAGACCTCAGTTCTGGGGAATATAGAGCCAATACTCCACAGAGATGAAACCTGAGCTGATGATGAAGGAAGGTTAGGTGTCAAGACACTGTCCAGAGATGTGGGTTAGAAAATGATTCATATTGGTTTGTGAAACTCCTGGTCCAAAGATGATGGCCTTGAACCCAGAACTAGAACTCCTGAAAGTTCCGAGGACAGCTTGACAAATTCTGCCAAGAGCAGAGCTGAGGAAATGTCCTGGTTTCCAGTGTCTGTAGGTTACGGTGGGGATTCTGTGTAGACCGGCATGTGGTGGTGGTGGCCACATTGAAAGTCGGAGCAAAGAACAATCAACAGTCTTAGCTTTAAGTTTGACCCAAAGAACTAGACTGGCCGAGCAGTGGTGGTGCATAGCTTTAATCCCAGCGCTTGGGAGGCAGAGGCAGGTGGATCTTTTTGAGTCTGAGGCCAGCCTTGTTTACAAAGTGAATCCAGAACAGCCATGGCTACACACAGAAACCCTGTCTCAACCTCCCCCCAAACCCCCCAAACACAAACAAAACAACAACAAAAATATGAAACCAGAGAGGAAAGTAAAATCTCTAAGCATTGAACCATGGGCTTGAAGTCAGGAGGAGGCAGAGGGTGATGAAGTAACTTGCTATTTGAGCAGGTGTTTGTTGAGTCCATTCAATCTTCTGCCTCTTCCTCCTGCCCCTTGGCAGGGTCCTGTTACACATCCCAGTTGACCTAAAACTGGCAGTTCTCCTGATTCAACCACCCAAGGCTATGCCACCATACCTGGCAGAGGATCTATCTTTAGAAGCCCAGCTCAACTTTCTGCCATTAGGCAACCCATTCAGCACTCTAACAAAACCAACATATTGCAGTTCTTGGCATTAACTTGTTGGCTAATTTTCAGTTGTTTTGGTAAGTTACCATTTTGGTGAGCCAGGGTCTTAAAATTGTGTGTGTGTGTGTGTGTGTGTGTGTGTGATACACATAGGATATATTGTGTGTATAATACTTCTATAGATTTCTTGTCAATGTTGAAAATAAAATCTATTATTAAATGTTCAGGGTCAGCCACACACATGTCTGTGAATGCGTCAGAGCTTTACATACTGAGCAGATTTGAGGTCCTCAGCCACGGGAATGTTGGACTTTCAGCTAAAATCATTATGAACAGTTTCTTTACAATTCTTGGGAAAAAGAAAATTATTCTCACCTTCTTAGGTTTCTGAACAGAGCAGTAGATTGTATGTGAGTCTTCTTCCTTCTGAGGAACTGGCATCTTTCCCTGCAACAGGTGGGTATCAGACAAGCGTTACCCATCAAATGAGAGATTTCCAGTTTAACCCACAGCCCTTGAGGCCACATGACATCCCACTGTGTTCTGGTCTCAGAAGCTGAGAACTGGGGACAGCTCCCCTTATTCTCTGCTCCCCTATATTGATGGCCCAAGAATGAGTTCCTCTATTTCAAAGGATCTTAAGGTTGGGTAGTCATGGCTGAACTGCGTGTCTGTCTGTATAACCTTTGGCCTATCCCCAGACAGACCCCAGTTTGTAAGAACTTGCCCAGGCCATCAGATAGCCTAGAAGCAGAAGGAGAAGGAAGGAGTGTTAGTCAGAAGTGCTCACCTGAGCACTCAGGCACACTTGTGCATAAGCCATTTCCTCTTCATCCTCAGACTTAACCACTGCATCATCTGGAGTGATTGCTTCATAGTCTGCTTGCCCCTCAGAGGCCAAGTCATATGCAGCGTCCTCCTGAGTGGCCAAGTCGTACACCTCATTTCTACCGTCGGCAGTGCTGTGCATTCTGCTCTTCTCCTCAGTCTCTTCTATTGTTGCTCTGCTGTCAGAGCTGCTGTCTGATGTGGGCAAAGACTGGCACTCGGTCTTGTTGGCCATGCCTAGTTTCTCGTACCGTTGGGAGAGCATGGCAAAATTCATGTGGCCGGCTGGGCCTTCTACAACACATTGGGCAGGATTAACAAAAGTGTGACACCCCCGCATCTTTCTTGACTTGCTACAAAGACCCAGCTTGCTCTGAATACTATCCTAGATGAGACCTCAAGGCTGGGGGGGCTTTCATCTGTCTTCCATTATGGAGCTCCTGTATGTTCCCCCTTCCTCCTTTCTGATCACCAAATAATTTATTCAGCTGATAGATAAATGTCTACTATATAGAGTGTGATGGTCTTTCCAGTAACTCTGGTGAAGAGAACTAACCCACTGAATAAACTGTGCCAAGGACACAGGTAGGTGTCCTGTGGAAACACAAAGATAAATTAGGTCTGGCCCTGGAGTTCACTGTCTGTCTGAGGAAGGGGAGCCATATATATGAATATTCATTATTCATTAACATATTGTGGCCTCTGATAGGTATCCCATGGAGGGTGTAAGGGAAACACTGAGGTGGGCGGATGTGACTTCCGGTTAGAACAAGGGAGATCTTGAACACTGCAGAATCGAGGTGGGCTTTAAAGTAAAGGCAAACTTTGGATGAGTGTCAGGACGTATTTTGTGTGGGGAGCAGCATGGAGCACCCTCCCTTGAGAAAGGAACACATTCATAATACTTAGCAAGTGCAATGGTCTGGGCATAGTGCCATCAGAACAAGTAACTAACCTGACATGCTGAGTTGGTACCAACCTTGATTTGGGGTAAATAAAACAGCTCATTTGACCCAAATATAGAATAAACATGTCTACCATTCGCTAAATATCTATGACGTGATCATGCAATGGTCCAAATGCTTTTAATCTGCCGAAAGCATCATGGAACACAGAAATGAAGAAGCTGGATCACATACAGGTTAAGGGTATCTTCACCTACAGGGTAGAGCCAAGATTAGATGCAAGTGGCTTGGTCCCTGGTGCTTCCTCTGGCTTTGTGTTGCAGGAAAACTAAAGTATGAGTTGTTTTAATACTTAACAATAATCATCACTGAGTGACCACTGTGGACATCACTACGTTTTGGTCCTCACATAAGATGAAACACCTCCATTTTTTTTCAACAAAAAAATGAAAGTTGAAGCTCGAGTTACCCAAGACACTATCATTGATAGGGGAGAAAAGTAGAGTCTAAACAGGATCACCTGACCTGACTCCATACATCTGACAGCTGGGTGATGTTGACCTTTGAACACAGCAAAGCCATGAGGAGTCCTTGATAGTTTCTTTTCCATTTCCATTTTTTTTGGGGGGTCTGCATTTCTCTCTCAGAAAGTCTCCACTGTGTAATGACTTCATCCCCAGTCCCTTCTCTGACTCTATCTCCTTGGTAAATATTCTCCATGAGATATGACAGGGAGTCTTTTGTTTTGTTTTGTTTAAGCATGGTTTGGGTTGAGGAGACAGAGTAAGGGACTCTTTAGCATGCCAGAGCTCTGGAGTTCAAGCTGGTAATTTGGGGCACCATGGAATGGGCTTAAGGAAGTAAGAGCAAACATCTCAGCTCCACACCCCCACACCTACTGGAACAGTTCTGCTTTTATATGATTTGTGCTATTGGAGTTCTGAATAAGAGTTTGTTTCATGAAAGCATTCCTTAGCTTAGGTCAAGTTGGAAACCCACTGACGATGCTCTTGAGCAGTGGCTCTCAACTTTTCCAGTGCTGCAGCCCTTTAATACAGTTGCTCATGGTGTGGTAACCCCCAACCATAAAATCATTTTGTTGCTACTTCATTACTGTAATTTTACTGCTGTTAGGAATTGTAATATAAATATATGATATTCAGGTTATCCATATGTGACCCCGACCCACAAGTTGAGAACTCCTGCTCTTGAGTATTAGGCGTCTGTACACCTAATTTTAATTAGCTTCTGATTTTGCTCTGTGCACCTAATTTTAATTAGCTTCTGATTTTGCTCATGTCATAGGTTTACTATTTCACCTGGCCTTTGTTTCTGTATCCTCAGAATTGAGAAAATAGCCTAGTCTTCATAGTAGGTCATATTCAGGTGGTAACAGCCAACATCGGACCCAAGAGGTTCCTGTTGATAGACCACGCCTCCTAGTTCCACTAGTTAACTCTAAGGGATCCAAGCTTTTGTTCCCAAACCACCTTCTATCAGCATCTGCTTTTTAAAACTTTAGCAGACATATGGATCCAGTATTCCAGCGGTAGCGATCAAGATTCTGCATTTTTAAAAGCTGCTAAGTAATCCATGTTGCTGGTTGGCTGACTGCACTTTGAGTAGCTAGGCTTTTGGACTAACATATGGAACAGGAGCTCCATGTTCCAGAGTCACCGATGATATTACCTGGTATTTCTGCTGGAGCCTCGGCTTGGCTGTACCTGATGACCAAAGGTGTACCTGAGGAACCAAGCAGAAGAAGTCACCAAGGGGACTGTGAGTAGGTTGCTGTCTTTGATTTTGTGAGACCTAGAGGAGACTATGGGGAAGAAGGGGGTCCTAAGGGAAGCAGAGGGTCATGGGAAGTAGTGACCAGAGCCCAGGGTCATCTTTATCTGGAATGAATGTCATGGGACTTCCTGGCATCTCTCTGGAGGAGAGAACTCTCTCACTCTCCTACAAGTAATTTTAGCCTGCCCACTCTTTCTGAGAATTATCCGTTATCACTCTAATGTTAAGATTCTAGAGGGAGACGCCAGTCACGAACACTTATCTCCTTGTCTGCAGTGATTGGCCCAGCAGCGACCATATGACTTCCACCTGTTTATCAGAGCTATTCCTGACATTTTTCCAATTGAAGTTGGAGAGAAACATCTTCCTTGCCCAGCTTTTAGGAAGCCATTAGCATGTGTCTGCCAGAAGCTACACTGCTGTGCAGTGGGCCACTCTTCCCCTCGACCCACAGCTACATAGCAGCAGGAGAGTCAAGCCGTATGAGAACAGCACAGATAAGATATGGAGAGATCTGGTGGTTCCCGAGTCTCTGCTGACATTTGCCCATTAAGGCCGCTGAGTCATGAAATTGAAAGTCCTGTCCCTGTCCTTCCCCCACACTCTATAAAAATCTTAGTTAGGGTTGAAGAGACGGCTCCGTGGTTAAGAGCACTGGCTGCTCTTCCAGAGGGGCTGGGCTTGGTTCCCAGCACCTATCTGCTGTTTCTCAACCATCCGTAACTCCAGTTACAAGGAATCTGACGCCCTCTTCTGGCCTTCACAGACACCGGGTACACACATGCTGTGCAGACATACACACAGACAAAACAACATACACATAGACTAATAAAAATTATAAACTCTAAGCTATTTTCAGCTGGGCTACAGTTATTTTTAGCTAAAGATGTTCAACTAATATCTAGCTTTTCCTTTACTGGGAGAAGAAATTAGGTCAGGAGAAAGAAATATCAAGGGCTCAAGGCAGGGTTTAGAAGCCTCTACAGGTCACAAACGAAGAGGCTCCTAAGGGTGTAGGTAGTTAATCTAGAACACTTACAATGTTTCTTTCGCTTCAAAATGTAGCAACTGCTGAGGACTATCCCCAAGAATAAAAGGACAATAAACACCAGGAGGAGCAGGATCCCAAGCTTCATTTGTCTCTTAGGGCCTTAAAGAGAAAAATGAAGATATTAATGCAAATACTGATAGGGATAGCAGAGCAAATGACTGGTAGAACACAATGAGCATCCTAACTGACTCTTAAAATCCTATGACAGCCTAAAATACTTACTTTCATTTATTCATCCTATAGCATTTTTTATTATTATTATTTTTGTTTTTAGCAATGCTTTTAGGCAAGAGGTTACAGCAGTACACAAGCTGATACAGACTCCCCAGAGAGAGATCTATGGCTTACCCAGCCCCAGAGTTTTAAGTATCTGACACAAGATATGAATGAGATCTGTCAGGCTCAAAGCAGTCTTGACCGCTGCACTACTGCCTTTTTCTATAAGTGAGACAGAAGTTATAAGTCCAAGGAAAAAAAAGAGTAGATTCCTGTGAAGCCAGGCTCTAGGTCTATCTTCCAGGCTCAGCCTTCCTGCACCATCACGTCCTAGGCAGACTTCACCTTCTTCCTGCTTTTTTCCTTCTTCAGTTTTCGCAAGGCTATGGATTACAACCAGGATCTCACACATACCAGGGAAGCCCTCTACCAACTGAGTTAAATCCACAGCTTTTTTTTTTTTTTTTTTTTTTTTTTAAGACAAATTCTACCTTTGTGGCTCAGACAGACAGATTGACTTCAAGTTTGTGATCTTTCTGCTTCAGCCTCCCGAGTGTTTGGATACAGGCAGTTCCAACATGTGTGTCTCTTTTTGCTTTGAATAACACAGCTATCAGAAGATTAGAATTATGTGTCTGGATCCCATAACACTGACAAGATGCTTGCAAGGACTCCCTCCTATATTCCCTCACTGGCTTTCTTAAACAGCTGGGAACACAAACACTGGAAAGCAAAGTCCCAAATCCTGCAGCATGAGTGGAGAGAGAGAGAGAGAGAGAGAGAGAGAGAGAGAGAGAGAGAAAGAACTAGAGCAAGATCAAGAGAGCCAGAGAGAGAGCAACCTGAACAGATGGTCTCAGAAGAAGAAAACTGGCTGGAGCTGTTGCTGACAGGGTTATGGGCTGTGCAGGTGAAGTCAGGCAAATGGTCACCACTTTTCCAGGAGATGCTGAGCTGTGAGCTCCCTTGGAACGTAACAGCTTTCTTTTGCAGGGGCATCCACGTGAAGGTCACATTGTTTCCGCCATCTTCCACTGAGCAGGTCAGGACGACCTTGCAGAGGCTGTTCTTTCTTTGCACGGGACTCTGCGTGACACTGGGCTTCTTCAGTCTCTCTATGTGGGGGAAAGGCAGAGCCAGTGTAGAGCTAGACTTGTCAGCGAATTGGCTTGCTACCAAGGTTGAAATCCTGAGTTTGAGTCCCAAGACCTACATAGTGGAATGAAAAAACCAATTCCTAAACACTATCTTCTACTTACACACACACCTGCGTACACACATACATAAACACACACACACTAAAAAAAAAGGAAGACGGAAAGAACAAAATACATTCATGAAAAAAAAATGTGTTGTGCCCCCCACCCCCACCCCAGGAGTCACAAGGCCTGTGAAGGTCTTTTCATCACCTACAAAATGCCATGTGCATCACTTCACCTCCATGGACCTGAGACTCAGGTGTGAAATAGGGCTGTTACTGAAAAGGGAAATACAAAGGACACCACTTGGTCCACACGTTGTCTTAGAGTGACAAGATGACCAGGTAATCAACACGAACAAGTGCAGTTGATCTAAACATACTGTTTTAAACATTACCAAGGATTTTAAAAAGAAAAAAAGATAATATTTAAATAAACATCACATTAATGTCTGTTGTTTAAATGAAATTATTTTGCATTCGTTTATTTGTTTAGAGACAGGATTTCGTGTATTCTAGGCTGACCTCCAACTTTTGCCATGAAGCGTAGGGCGCTCCTGAGTTCTTGATATCCTCTCTTCCCATCCTAAGTGTTGGGATTATGGGCAGAAGCCACTATTCCTGGTCTGTGTGGTGCTCAAGATCCAACCCAGGGCTTCCTGTGTGGTTGGCAGGCACTCTACCTGAGTTACCCTCTCAGCTCTCACAATTATTTTAAAATATTTTAAAAAGCATTTCTAATTAAAAAGTCTGTCTTTTAGGTTTGTCCTCTGGCTGCTAATGTCTTACTTAACGTTCTTTAAATCTTTTTAAATTATATTTTTAACTTTTAGTATTTGAGTCACTGTATGCAATTAGCATAAACCTAACCAGCTTGCTGAACACTTTAACGGGGCTGTGGGTAGATGGTTAGCTCCGGTAAGCATCTATCCATGAGTCAGCTAGGGCAGGGACTGTGCTTATGGTATGTGAATGGACAGGGAAAGGAGCTGGCAGGCTTAAACGGCACAAATCATCAAACCAACGTCCTGTAGAGCCCAAGGTTTAGGAGGAAGAATTCGAATTCTGTGTTTCACGCTCTGGGCATGGAAGTGGCCCATGTTCTTGAGTCTCAGTGTTTTGGGAGGTCAAGAGCTTCCCTCCTCTCTGCTCTGTCTCCACCTAGTTATTCCCACCCTTGTTCTAAACGATGGAACCTAAAGTGCGGACAGATGAAAGTCGGGCGTCGGAGGCCTAGATCAAGAAATGCCTTGGCAGATAGGGTCTGCGCCCCTGATGGTTGCCTTACTCACCGTAGATGAGCAGGTTGAAGTATGACACCCTGGGATCTCCAGAGGCCTCTGAGCACACGTAGGCGTGGTAGGGGCCGGCATCCTCCATCTTCAGCCTGGTGATCTTCAGGGAGTAGTCCTGGTCAGAGATCCTCACCCTCGGTTCTTCAGGACCTCTGAATTCACGGTGAGGGTCGGCCGTTGCTGCTCCTTGCCAGTCTTTGCTGATAATCGACGTGCTCGTGTTCGCGTTCGACACCCAGACAATTTTCTTTGTGTCCTGACTGGCCAGAGATGCCAGGGGCAGGGTCACCGACTCTCCCAGGATCCCTACCAGAGTCTCTCCGGCTGTTTTTCTTCTGGAGGCCCCTGGATTTGGAGTCAGAGACAAGACATTGCAGCGAGCCTGTGTTCCCATCTCCCTTGACCTCCACCCCCGCCCGAACCCCCAAGCCGAGCTGGAGACTGGAACCACCTCTCCTCTTGCCATAGCCCCACCCCACCCCCCGCCTTGATGAGGCGTCCCCACTGCTCTCTTTTACTCCGTTATTTTCACTCTACTCTTGGCTTGCCCAGTCCTCCCCCCACACCCCTTTTAAAGCAATCCTGGTAGACACTACTGCACAAGTAAAGCTCAATTTAGACCTTTGCCTAGAACCCCCTTTTCCTCCTGTGTTACACCATTGGGGTGCCGCAGTGTCCAGGGTTTCCCAGCCTGGCCCCTGAGCAGAAGGCCTTTGGCTTTGTCCCCTTTCTTTTCTCCTCCATCTATGTCTCACCAACAACTGAACTTTAGACTCCATGGGTGCTCAGGATGTTTCTAGAGTCCCCTGAAAGGTCTGATTGGAGCCACTTGCCTGCACAGAGCTGCCAGACATGGACAGGTTGGGAGCTGTTCTGGCTGACTGGATTCCGGGCTTTGCAGATATACGGTAGGTCCGGGTCACAGATGCTCTGGGAAACTGTGAGGATGTGGCTCCCTTGGGAGCTATTAAAATGCGTGTCCTTTTGGGTCCAGTTGTATTGGACACCGTCCTTTGCCCCATTCACAGTACAGATCAGAGTGACGGTGCAGGAATCATTCTCAGACGAGGTCACAGATTGCACGGCGACTTGGGGCTCCTGCAGCTTCTCTGAGGGGGATAACGGGAAGACTCTCAGCTTCCCTTCTTATCGGGGGAAGGCTACCTGAAGGAGGAGGTGCTGGGAGAAAAGCTCGGGGTTGTGTCTGCAGGCTAGGGCGAGGGCCTCTGTGTTTCTGAGACACTGTCTGCTGGCTTTCTTACCACAGCATTTCCAAGTTCCTGCTAGAGTGACTCTCCCCATCTCTGCCCTGAGCTTGGGACCCCAGTGCGCTGCGTATGACCTAGGAACGGGGAGCTCGCTTTCTAGAATTTTCATCATCCCTGAATTTTGCTCTGAACTTAGAACCCACTGCTTTCAGTCCTTTTCGTCTTTGGCTTTATTTTATTTTATTTTATTTGCACGTCCTCTGTTCAACCTTGTGTTTAATTTGTTTTTTGAACAGGTGATAGTTAGACGCACCAAATTGGAAAAAAAAAAAAAAAAGCAAAAGGATAGGTGGTTTTAGAAAGGTAATCATTACTACCCCCAAGGTCTATTTTCTGGAGTCAGTAACTACCCGACTGGTAGAAAAATATCATTATGAAGTGAATAATTTTCCTCAAAGCTTCATATATCCAAACCCAGTGTCTCAGAATATGACTTAGGAGACAAGTTTGTGTTTGAAAGTATGTGTGAATAAGTTAGAGTAGGGGAGGAGGGAGGGGCTTATGGGGGGGATACAAAATGAATAAAGTGTAATTAATAAAAAATTAAAAAAATAAGTTAGAGTAGGCCCCAGTTCTATCTATCATTTTTATTAGAGGAAGATCAATAAGACACCGACTACATAGACAACCATCTGAGGGGACATAGAGAGAAGACAGACTCTTTAATCCAAAGTCAGACTTCAGAAGAAACCAAACTGGTTTCTTGATCAGACTGTAAAGTTGTAAGAAAACACACTTCTACTGTTTAATCTATTCAGCCACTAATACAGTAAAAAACCACAAAACCAACCTGTGTGTATGAGTGTTTTGCCTGCTCGCATTTGTGTGCTACATTCCTGCAGTGTACAAGGAGGCCAGAAGAGGGCATCAGATTCCCTTGGAACTGGAGTTACTGACCCCTGTTAATTGCCATGTGCGTTCTGGGAGCCTCTGGTTGAGCAGCCAGTACTTTTAACCACTGAACCATCTTTCCAGCCCCATCAGCCAATAATATTCTGTTACGGCAACCTTAGAGAACCAGTAGAGATTTGGATGCCAAAAGTGAGCTGTTGTAACAAATATCTAAAAATATGGAAGATGTCTTTGGAACTGGCCAGTAGAGGTTGGAAAAAATTTTTTTTGGCTTTCACTGGGTAGCCCTGGATGTCCTGGCATTCACTCTGTAGTCCAGGCTGGCTTTGAACTCACAGAGCTCCGCCTGCCTCTTGGTGCTGGTATTAAAGGTGTACACCTCCATCATCAAGGTTGAGGTTGGAAGAATTTTGAGTAGCATGTTAGTAAAAGTCCACATTGCCTTCAAGAAGCTTTTGGTAGAAATCTGATGTTAAAGCCATCTGAAGATTCAGAAAGAGAACAGGGCACTGAAAGGAAATCTATTATCATATATATATATATATATGAATTATAAACAGTATAGTGAGAGAACTGAGAACAATTAAGGTCTTTCTGCTGATGTTTCAGAAATTAGGAATATGCCATTAGAAACTGGAGAGCAGTGGAGGTTACGTAAAGTGGGCTAGAACTTGGCTGAATTGTATTCTACCATTTGGTGGAGGTAGAATGTTTAAGCAACAAAACGTACTTATAGGCAGCACGTTGGAGATAAGGAGCTGGAGAGATGAACGAGTGGTGGAGAGCACTTTCTGCTCTCACAGGAGTCCAGTTTGTTTCCCAGTGCTCATACTGGGTGGCTCCCATTCTCTTGTGACGCCAGTTCCAGGGGATTTGACATCTTCCTCTGTCTTCCCTGGGAACTCGCATGCAGAACATGTACATACAGACACACGCATAAATAGATAACAAATCTTTAAAAAGTGTTGAGGGCACTGCCTTGTTTTTCTTAACTGCTTGCACAAGGGATCAAGAGGAGAGAGGTAAATGGAAGGGGAAAAACAGGGATTTTTTTTTTTTTTTTTTTTTGTCTATTTATATTGCCGAACATAAGAAAGCACATTTGGAGAGAACACATGTGTGGACAAGGTTTGCTGAAGAGAGAGTGCACGTGATTTATGGACTGTATTGACTAAGCACCATAAGCTTGGACTGAAGGAACAGGCACAGGGTAGAAAGAAAGCTGTCAGCCTTTTGGAATTCTGTAAGACAATGCAATGAGTGGCAGGGCTGTGAATTCATGCTAGCCATCAAGAAGGAAAGGACCTCAACGGCAGGCAGTTCAAAGACTGTCAGGATCTTTCTGTCACCATGAGCCCAGAAGAGACAGGTGGGCCGTAGGATTGAATGTTTTACTTTTTTGGATTTTGAGCCAGAATGTTGCCAAGGTCAAGGACTGGGGTGGTCACCCCAGGGGATATAGAAGGCATTGCTGTCACTATAACTGGCCCAGGAGGTACAGCATTGAGCCTCAGAATATAAGGAAACTAGTCACTGTAGGTTTTAGGTTTCCTTGGTGTCTGTGACTCCACTCTTTCTAATTTTTCCCTCTTTCAGAAAACCACCACTGTATTCTGGAAGCAGACAACTTGCCTCGTTTCATAGGTTCACAAATGGAGAATGGCTTCAAAATGAATTATATGTCACGTCTTATTCATTCCTGACTCAGATAATACTTTGGAATTAAAGTTGATACTAGAGTAGGTTAAGACTTTGGGGGGGGGGTGATGGAATGAGGTGAATTAATTTTGTATGTGAGGAAAACATGGATTTGGGTAGGTCAGAGACAGAGATTTTAGGGATGGGGACCAGTGGTGCTGAGGGGGCGGACAATCCCCCAAGCTCTCTGGAACTCACCGTAGACATGCAGTAAGAATGCTTCCGTTGTGGTTACGTTAGAATTCTTTTGGTTGATCTGAGCCTGGTAAGATCCTGAATCACCCTTGTTTAGGTTACTCATATACAAGGAGTAGTCGTCTCTGCTGATCTTGAGTCGGCCACTGTATTTTCTGTCCAGAATTACTATATCTTTTTTGGAATCCATTATAGCAAGAGTCTTTGGGGGGTAATTCCAGGCAATATGTTCAATCTCTGTATCCCATGAGATGTTTAGGGAAAAAGTCACAGAACCCCCTAGGGTCCCTGATATCACTTTTGGGGGTGTTTCCTCTCCAGAGGCTCCTGGTCCTGTGGAGAGAGAAGAGCGACTTGGAGGAACAGCGGATCTTCTCAAAGGCACGTTTATTTCATTCACTCAATAAACATGTCCTTGTTACAAATTCCATATGCTGAGAAATGAATGAGACTCTAGTCCTTCTTCCTCTAAGCTCATTGGCTGGCAAGGTCATTCATTCATTCATTCATTCATTCATTCATTCATTCATTCATGCATGCCTCCACTCATTCACCACACTCTTTTTCATGAAAGCAGCTATAGTAATCAATAAAGCATTTCTTCAAACTTTCTGTTCTTATTGGTAATTAGACTATGACTGGGTGAACTTTTCTGAATTTTTCTTAGAGTCAGCCTATTGATCTGTGAGACTGATAAACTCGTCATGATTACATCATGTACAGGGGGATTATGATAAAACGTAAATGAAAGCAGGTTTCCGCAAATCGCAAAGAGCTAGAAAAGCAAAAAGACGTCATCTCTTTAGAAATAAGACGAATAGAAAGATACTCAGAGGGGTGGAGAGATGGCTAGGTGAGTGACAGAATAAGTAAATTAACTCCTTGGTAGAACATAGATGCTCAGCGTGGGGAGAAGACCATCATTAAGAGACTAGAAGAATGAAAATTCCCCCATAGGGACTGTTCCATGCTACTGTACTAAGCAGTGTTATTTTCAAGTTTGAATATTTCTTTATCACACTGTCTTTTACCTCATCCTCTAGGGGATCTTAGACTGTCTTTGGCATAGTAATGTCTGGCTTAGGGCTGGGAAGAGATGCTAGCCTTTGGCCACTCCTGATTTTATTTTTGTCTCAAGCAAGATCCATATTGCTGGTAAACACTGTTATCAAAGCTCTGAAGAGCTCAGGTGTTTCATTTTTCCTTTGAAGACTCTGCAGTATCTTCTGGGTGGCCCCAGCCTAGATCCCTAGATTCCAGGCTTCCAAGGCTTTGTTGAGTGCACTGGGAATTTAGATCAAATCAGACAACATCTAGAGCAAGGCTACTCCAGAGATTCTGAGTGGAAAAAAATATATGAGGGAAAAAGAAGACGCAAAAGTGTAGCCTAAAGGGAAACAAGGAAGGAAGAAAGGAGGAGGAGGAGGAGGAGGAGGAGGAGGAGGAGGAGGAGGAGGAGGAAGAGGAGGAGGAGGAGGAGGATTCATATTGCCCAGGGCCACCTGACTATGTGAAACCTCTCCAGCACAAGGGATGTAAGAGTTAAGACAGGAAGTAGAAGAAACTCTAACAGTTTTTGTGCACCTAGGACGTCTCAAGGTGGCTTGTCGTCAGAAGGGTTTGCTCAGATCCCTCTGAATTTATATACATTACACAGGAAACAACATAGAGCCAGCATTTCTTAGCAGGAAACTATGGGGGTGAAGGAAACATGATTTGATAACAGGGTTATTTAAGATTGGGGCTAGAATGTCACCTCATAGTGCATCAGTGTGTATGCTTTCTCTCATTCCCTTCTCTCTCTTTCTCTCTCTCTCTCTCTCTCTCACACACACACACCATACATACTGGCTCTCACACATGTGCACATCTCAGAGTAAAGCAGACTTGCAGAGTGATTACCACAAGATGGTAATTTCCTGATTTAACCAACAAGACTTTACCTTCCGGGCAGATGACCAGCCTCAGAGACTGCTAGTAGCAATCGGTGGTGGTTCTAACTTGGACTTACCCATGAGCAGGAAGAGGAGAAGGATCCACAGGATAGGAGGAAGTACCTGCTGCTGACTCCTCCTCAGCTTATCAGAGACCTCTAGAGCCCAGGCACACCAATGTCTCTTTAGATCCGCCATGATGATGTATTTTCAGAGCTCATGTTAAAGGAAGAGGCACTTACCACAGCTTCCTCAAGCGTGTGGGTGCACGCGCATGCGTGGTGTGTGTATGTGTGTGTGTGTGGGCTGTTCATATTGAGCATTGCAGACTCCTGCATCTGCTCAGACTAGGGTGGAGGTCCAAGCACATCCAGATCCTTCAAGGAATTTGTAAACCAGAGCCGAGCTTCGCTTGTTTTAGCATCAAAGGGGGGGGGCTCTAAAGGTGTATTCTAAAGATGCCTGCTAAATATCTCCACCTCTGGGTATTCAGTCCTTGTGTAATCCCCTCTTCCTGGATTCAGGCTGGACTTAAGGTGAATACAATGTGACAGAGCTAGTGAGATGTCACTTCCGAATACAGGATTAAAAAAAGGCTATGGCTGCCATCTCTTCCTTTTCCATTTTTCATTCCATCCCTCTCTTCTCTCCTCTCTCTATTTCTTTCATCTCACACTCTCTCCCGTTCATTCTCTCTCTATCTCTACCCCATCACACCCCCTTAGTTCACTCTGAGGGAAGCTGGGGATTAAATGGTAAGTCAGCTTCTGGAGAAATCTGCAAGAAACTGAGGGGATGCCCTCAGCCAATGTGCACCAAGGAATTGATTTCTCTGGCTAACAGTCAGTGAGGACTTATCACCTGCCGAAAGTCACGAGTTTGACCTCCACTCCTTTGATATGACCACATCCCTGACTGATACCTTGATTTTAGCCTTGTGAGAAACCCTGAACAGAGGTACCCAGCTAAACCATGTTGGAATTTTGATCTGAACAGTGATGAAATAACAAATGCCTATTGCTTTGAACATCTAAGTTTTGGGGCAATTTCTTATACAGCCGTAGATAATGAGCACAGTGGCCCAATAAATATCCTATTTTGTTGAAACCAGCTTGTGCTGGCTTCCTGTTTCATGAAACTGAGCAACTTTTAGTTGACATGGAGAAGTGGTACCAATCACACTGCATTAGGGTCAGATGTCACAAGTGTTGTGCTCTTGGGGGAGGGAGAATTAGTTCTCTCTTTCCACTACACGGGTTCTGTTGGTCAAACTCAGGTTATCAGGATTTGTAGCAGTGTCTTTGCACAGTAAGTCTCATTTGTCCAGGTCCTTATAGAATTGGGTGAGTTGAAAAATGAGTCTGCAGCAGTATAATTTCTTTTATCTTGCCTCGAGTAACTGAACAAATTTGTTCTTTTGATTTTTGACCTATTAAGGGCCTCAAATATTGGATATTGCTCACTCTCACTTGGTGAAGATGATCCCCTTTACTTGACATACTGATTCAAAAAAATCTCTCCGGAGATTAATGTTTTAGCAACTCTCCGGCCGTCTGTTAGGCCAGGGAAGCTGACCTATAAATTTCATCTTTATAAGTCCACCTTGTCAACGTGGTATGCATATCCATCTTTTAAACTATGCATTATTCTCATACAAAGGTAATAATGATGTTGCAATTCAGCCTGATATAATACAACAATTTTTCACTAAAGCATAAATGCACCAACCCATTCCTCAGAAGAGGAAGTAAAGTCACTAGGTAATTGCCTATTACGTAAGGGCTAAAGTAGCTAGGAAAGAGGCTTGGATATGGGAATCCTCCTCCATTGCTAGTGTGAATGTCAACTTGTACAACCACTTTGGAAATCAGTCTGGCGCTTTCTCAGACAATTAGGAATAGCGCTACCTCAAGATCCAGCTATACCACTCCTAGGACTATATCCAAAGTATGCTTAAGTATACAACAAGGACATTTGTTCAACCATGTTCATAGCAGCTTTATCCATAATAGCCAGAATCTAGAAACAACCCAGATGTCCCTCAACTGAAGAATGGATACTAAATTGTGGTACATTTACACAACGGAATACTACTCAGCAATTAAAAACAAGGAAATCATGGAATGTGCAGGCAAATGGTGGGAACTAGAAAAGATCATCCTGAGTGAGGTATCCCAGAAGCAGAAAGACACACATGGTATATACTCACTTATAAGTGGGTATTTGACATATAATATAGGATAATCATACTAAAATCTGTACATCTAAAGAAGCTAATCAAGGAAGACCCTTGGTAAGATGCTCAATCCTCATCCAGAAAAGCAAACGGGGTAGACATTGGAAGAGGGAGAAAACAGGGAACAGGACAGGAGCCTACCACAGAGGGCCTCTGAAAGACTCTACCCAGCAAGGTATTAAAGCAGATGCTGAGACTCAAAGTCAAACTTTGGGCAGAGTGCAGTGAATCTTATGAAAAAGGGGGAGATAGAAAGATCTGAAGGGGACAGGAGCTCCACAAGAAGAGCAACAGAACCAAAATATTTGGGCCCAGGGGTCTTTTCTGAGACTGATACTCAAACCAAGGACCATGCATGGAGATAACCTAGAACCCCTACACAGATGTAGCTCAGGGCAGCTCAGTCTCCAAGTGGGTTCCCCAGTAATGAGAACAGGGGCTGTCTCTGACATGAGCTCAGTGGCTGGCACTTTGATCACCTCCTTCTGATGGGGACAGCCTTACCAGACCACAGGGGAAGACAATGCAGCCAGTCCTGATGAGACCTGATAGGCTAGGGTCAGATGGAAGGGGAGGAGGACCTCCTTGCATGTCCCAGCTTCTCCTCTCATCTTATGATCCCCTCTGCATGTTCTTCTGTCACAGTGATGCCGTTAGTTACATGACATGACCAAGAAGGCCCTCACCAGAAGTCACATATATGGGGATTTCTGACATCCCATACTTTGAACATTTCTTTATAAAGTACCAACTTAGGTATTTTATTATAGCAACAGAAAAAAAAAATACTAAGACTGACTGGTTTCTATGGAATATGTCAGTCTATCCACTTGATTATTGATTATTATTCTGCTGAGCCTTCTCATTGGTGGAATATGATACATTTAAATTTTTACTCGTTTAGAGAAGTTTATTCACATACATCTTCTTTAAACATCTTTGTCTTCAACTTTGCAGTTCAGAAATTTCCAAGTCCCTGGCAACCCAAAGCATTGGTTGGCAACAGTCAATTATATGCCATATAATTATACATCTAGCCATTTCTCTTTCCAACATTATGCAACCTCACTGACTGAATTTTGTCTACTTAGCTGATTCTCTTCATGTTTGTGTATCAGAGTTGCCTCAGAAAGGGGCTGCAGTGCTTTGGTTAGCCATTTTTGGATGGTGCCCTTCAACCATGAAGAATCACCTGTACGTTAGTCCTGAGTCTTCTATTCTTCTGTTATCTGATCATAGAGACTCCTCATGAGGGCATATGTACAGATCAAGGGGAAGACCATAGACTTTGGACTACTCTCTGTGACTTACATATGCTTTCAGGACCTACTTGAGCCCAACCAGTACACAGAAATCCCATTTCATCACAGAGTGCTGCTGGTGTGTACCATACTTTATGGCCTTATGGATCAGATAGGACCTCGTTCCAGACAGACATCTCAGGTTAGGTGGTAACTTGTTGGATCACTGATCAAGTTTTCAGTCTCCATGAAGGTCTTGTGGTTGGCTGTATTTCATTATACTACTATAAAGAAGCAGCTAACTTTATAAAGCAGAAATGTTTTATTTACCTCACAGCTTTGGAGGTTCAAAGACATGTTCTTACATTGGTTGTTTTAGTGGAAACTTAGGAATGTAAGCAACAGTGACAGGAATGTGTGTTGGAGTGAAAAGTCACTTCGTGAGCTAAGAAGAAAGGGAGAATGAAAGGGTCAGGATTGTTCCTTTTATAACAATCCCCTCAGAAGAAGTACCCCTTCTACCTCATGTCATCCACACACACACACACACACACACACATACATACATACATACATACATACATACATACATACATACATACATACATA